GATTCAGTGACAGGGTTCACAGCGGTGAAAGGGGGGCTGTGCCCTCTTTGATCATCGTGTGGCTTGAATGTCACTGGCCCCCATAGTCTCATAGGGAGTGGCACTACTAGGAGGTGTGGCTTTATTGGAGTAGGTGTGACCTTGTTGGAAGAAGTGTGTTACCGTGTGTGTGTGTGGGGGGGGGGTGGACTTTGAGGTTTCCTATGCTCAGGATACTGCCCCGTGTCTCAGCTGACTTCTTGTTGCCTGCAAGATGTAGGACTCTCAGCTGTTTCTCCAGCACCACATCTGCCTGCACACGCCATGATGATAATGGACTGAACCTCTGAAACTGCAAGCAAGTCACCCCAATTAAATGTTTTCCTTATAAGAGTTGCCGTGGTCATGGTGTTTCTTCACAGCAATAAAAACTGTAAGACAGTCATGAAAGTCAGATATTTGCAGGCACTAGATAAACGAGAGTTTTTTGTTTGTTTTTTTTCTTCTCTTGTATCGTTTTTTAATTAAAGCCCAAACTTTAGTGCAGAATTTGGTCGGACAGGTGATGTGTTCAGATATTTAAGATGCTCCAGTGATGTTTTTACTGTTCTCATTTGACAGGTGACACATATGGACTCACCCTTGCCACCTCAATGTGTTAATATGATTAAGAACATTTTAAATATTAAAGGGAAGGGGGCAAGAAAAATGCTCAAATAAATGATTCTCCCTCTGGAAAAAGATCAGTGCAATAGGGGTGTGAGATTGTTAGAAGATAAAACTGATAAATGATAGGAGTAAAATTTGCCAACAGGTGTGTGCACACAGAAAAGTATTTACATAAATTTACACCAAGAGACAAGCATAGCCTCATAGCCTCATGTGACTGGATTAAGTGACAGGAGCATAGCAACAGATGGCCATTTATCCCCTTGACGCACTGACCTGGGAATAGTAGAGGCAGGTCAGTGTTTTATGTCACCAAGTTGTTTATCATTCTTCAGCAACTACTTCAGAGAGTAGTTGGAAAATCTCCTTGAAGGTATGCTTCTATTTTTATTTACACAGAGAAAGGTGGAAAAGGAAGATTGCATGGCCATGAATTAAAAATGACTTCATAGGAAAGGAAAACCTTCAGACAGCAGTTTAACTGTGCAGCCTCAGCAACGGCAGTCTGCAGGTGTACTTGTTAGACCTCGGCCAGTAACCACAGAGGAACTGAAGATAATGGGGGACTGTAGTGCCTGCCAGGGTACAAGGAAGGAGGGAGAAATATTTTCTGCAGATGGAGGTTAAATACAATAAATTGTGTGCTTGTTCAGTCACTGGAAACCCAGAGGAGTGGGCTCCTGTCTGGGTCTCCTGGAAGGCTTCCAGGGCACTGGAGAGCTGAATCTCTAGGGAGCTCCTAACTCTGGGAGACCCCAGACTTACCGAGTTACCAGAACACACACTCATCTCTGAAGTTAGGGAATCTCGAGCTGGGGGCAGATCTTGGAGGTATTGCTGTCACTGCTCCATCATATCAGGGATAAGGGACTGGGCCCTGGGGGTCACTGCTGCCTCCTGCCAGCCTGGAACATGGAGGATGACACCAATCTCCGCGTCAGAGAAAAAAACTCTCACCTTCTGCCTACTCCACTTGCCAAGCAAAGAATGGCAGAAGATGCTGCCACCCTGGATCTGCCTGACAAGGCTTTCCTGGGCCTCTACAGGACCCCTTAGAATCCAGAGTGCTAGCTACAAATGCGTCAGTATTGGACATTCAACTTTGAAGTCTATTTTGCACAATAATGTTATACAGAAGGGTCAAATAAAACCCACAGTATTCCACACAACTACAGACAGGCAAGATTGTTATTATGTTGGAGAAAAGATTGTAAGGGGCACCAACTGAACTTGATATTGCTTAGAAGAGACACCCTGTGAGTCTTTAAGAAAACATGAGGTGAACATCATTTCATTAAAAACACAAATGAGCTTATTAATGTTCAAAGTCAGAGATCTATATGGTTACACTGTAACTAGATTTTAGTAAGACTTCTTCCTAGTCTTTTATGTCATAAGATGAACTTCAGAATCACGGTCAAGGTAGCATGGTAGTTAAATTAATTTATAATTAATGGAAAGACTAGAAGTTGCTAATTAGCATACTTATATCTAATTATCACATATGAGATAAAAATTCATATTTTATCCCATGTTGCATAATAAACCCAACAAGGACACTGATTTTTAAGAATAGCACAAGGTATCATTTTCTGGGTGCTCATACTAGCCAGGACACTACAGCTACACTCCTTTACTCCCTAAAAGGAGCTAGTCAGACTGCTTCACCTCTGATGTGTTTAGAAACTGACACTAGCGAGTGTGTACTGTTTTCTTGTGAGTATACATTGGTGAGCAGCAGGGCTGAGGTTCTTAGCAAAAATTGCATCAAGGAAGGGCTGGCAGAGGCAGGGAGGGTACAACACCCTATCAGGAGAAACTGGCCAGTGATTAGCCTGCTAAGGAACCCGGGGGTGGGTGGGTGTTTCATCATTTATTCCCTGGGACCTCGGGGTTTGGCCCGTTGTTGGCAAGACCAGGCTAGTATCTCAGGGACTTAAACTTCCATGGGCTAAGCCTCACTAATTTCTCCTTTGTGAGAAACAGTTACAAATTCATTGAAAAATGGGAGATTTAACACCTAGACTGGCCATATATGGGCACTATGTTCTCGGACAGCATTGGTAGGAGAGTCCACTGAACTGCGGCATTGACTACAGGGAACAGAGTCAGCTCAGGAGAACGACCAGTGCGCTGGCTGGTTCTGGGACCTGACTGTCTGGGCCTGTCTGTCTGGATGACTGCATCTCAAGACTGACCTCAGAGGTCACCTGACTTTGTCTGAACTGACGTCAGTTGTTACTCTGACTCCTAGCTATCATATTTATTTTCACCCATTTATTTTGGAGATTTAAAAAAAAAATTAACTAACTTATATTTGGCTTGAGATTTTTCATACTTCCTTTGAAGTGAGTGATCAGTTCCTGCTGCTACAATCGCTTAGCTTGAGAAGTAGATTTACGTCTCATACTTACGAGCCCATCATTTCCCCTTTGCACCCTTGTAAGATGCCGGCTCGCCTGACACCTTCCTCTACCTCTACTCTCATTGGTGGGATAAAAGTAACAAATACTACAGTGGGGTAAAAAGCACCTTTAAAATGATTACATTTATTAACTCTGTGTGTGATGGGGCAAGCATGTGGGGGGTCAGAGGACAACTTGCTCAAGTTGATTTTCTCTTTCCACGATGTGGGTCCTAGGATTCCAAGCGGAGTCCTGGGGCTTGGCACCAATATCCTTCCTTTATCTGATGAGCCATCTCAATAGCCCATATGTTCTTCTTCTTCTTTTCCTGTTCTAAAGCAATGTAGGTGCAAAGTGGGTCCATAGATAGCATCATCAAAGAGACCAGGGTAGATAGTTTCATTAACTCTGTGTGGTAGGATTGCTGAGTGAGCATGTGAATGGATGAAAGAGTTGATAGCCCTACCCTAGATTTCACTGACACTCCAGTGTAGCGTTGCTTTATTTAGTTCAGGACCACATGTTCTGAGAATACTGATAGACAGAAGTATATTCAGAGGAAGCAGCGCAGATGGAGATGGGACTTGAAGCTATGTTCTGACAAATGGCGCGAGGACACTGGTGATATTTGTAAAGAACAGACTTTGGGGGAAGTAATGAAAGCTGACTTTCTGGGTATTTACTTGGTCCTTTGAAGGGTTTCAAAGTCAATAGTTTATCATAACAAAGGGGAACACTTTATATGCGTTGTCCTTGAAGCGGGGCCAACAGGAGTCATTGGTAACCATGGAGAGATGCTTGCCTTTGTTAGAATCACGGCATCTCTACTCTCGAAGTTGCCCACTAACAGAGGGAGTTGGCCTACTCTTAGTAAGCTCCGATTTCAAAGGAACATAAGCAGAGGAAAAAAAACCAAGCTTTTGATGGAGCTATTTTAGAGAAAACTAAAGATTAGATGGAGGCATGTATTAGGCAAAACATAAAGCTTCATCCAAGTCACCCTGTGAGCCTCTCATTACCTTACAATATACCTCACATGGATAGAGAAAACCCCACTCTTCTTTTTCTTTTGGTTCAATAGCTTGAACCCTAAATGAGCAACAAAACTATAAATTTAATAGATCGGTTTTAGGGGTTCTGATTTGCTTATTCATACTGCAAACTGAGACAAAACCCAGGAAACCCCAAAGTTTCTGGTATGCAACACCAACATTTTATGGGTATATCGTGAGATATAGAAGCAAGAAGGCCCCTCTCACTTCCTCCCTTGATCTCTAGAAGCACACTTTGACTATATGAGGGGCAGTCCTATTATTTTAGATTGTCTTTTAAAGACATGATAATTTATTGTTGTCTGATTGAGGGTTTCACATATTAAGTAGCATTTACTCCTCTTGGTACTGAGCAGCAGTTATCTGTTACAGGATGGTGTATCTTATTTTGAACCTTGTTATAGTTCATGAATGCACACTGATGCTTGATCAACCTGTGCTTTCATGCATTTACCATCAGATTGTAAAATCTGGATCTTGTCACTGGGGGAAGAACAGATGTACATCTGAAATAACCAAAGAACCTACAGTCTATCACAGATAGAGACTACCTACATATTATATTGACAGATGAGAAGTTCAAGCTCCAGTAGATGGAAAGACTTAACATAGCCAGGCGCCCTATGGGAAATTTGAGTACTTGGCTTTTGTCTCCTGATCCACAACTCACTGATGCAGTTTGAAGCTGCACTCTGGCAATGTCCCACCCCTTCTCCTTCCTCTTCCCCATCCTGTCTGCCCTCGTTCTCTCCCCATCTTCTTCTTCCAGTCACTTACACCTTCCATTATAATTTTATTGATGTGTAAACTAAAAGCATCTAGGTAGGATTCCAGAGGGCTATCTTCCTTGTCGATGCTGTGTGCTGAAGTCTGGACTGCTTTTGAATCTTGACAGTGCTGCATACGATGCTGTCCTCGACAGAAATGTGGCCATTAAGAAGCTCAGCCGACCCTTCCAGAACCAAACTCACGCCAAGAGGGCTTACCGGGAGCTGGTCCTCATGAAGTGTGTGAACCATAAAAATGTGAGTTTCCGTGTTATTTTTGAACCCCTGGCAGTGGGAGGTTGTGAGACGAGAGGAGGAAAAACAAGGACTGCTCCAGGAGGAAGGCTTGCTTTGCCATTTCCATCTCTTAAGATTGTTTATTGGCCCATATGCTGTATTTGGTTTCATTGTCCTCATGGTAGCTTCCTGCTTAAAAATTATTCAAAAGCCATATGGCATGGAGAAGATGAATGTGACTGATATGTCCCTATTATGAAATTAACCTTATTTGGTTGTCACGCTCAAAATGAACCCAGGAGCCTCATGCTTTTCAGCCAAAGTGAAGCTCCCAAACAAGAAAAACTTGCAGAGAAACCATACAGGAAAAGATATTTCTTTATACTTTGAGTTCGTAATAAATGGGGGGATATTTTTGTCACCATACTGTCTCCTGTGTGACACTCCTAGTTTGAGTCAGGCAGAACCTTCAGCTGTTGGGGGGCCCTGCTGTGTGAGCATCTCGCTTTGGGATGGGGAAGCGGCAGGTGCACACCCATGGAAAGCTCTTCAGAGCAGAGACAACCATTGCTTCAGAAGCCACACTTCCTCAGTCTCAGGCAAGGACCTTCACCCTCATGCCCTGTCTCTTCTTAGTAAGAGGAAATCAAAGAAAATTATTTGACCTTCTGGTGACGATTCTTAACAGTTACAACAAGTTTGCTAGGCACATTATAAATTTTTATAAATAAAACTAAAAGTAACAGATATCACATGTCACATGCATGGGCACAGGCAGGGAGGCAATGGCGTAGAAAGCTCTCTGTACATGAACTGTATCTACTTAATCATCCTTCCAGACCCTGTAGGGCAACATCTTATGGAGAAATTTCCAATTGCTTGGCCAACTTGAAAAAAAAAACAAAAACATACTTGATGGTGTGGTTTGGATATATTTCAACTGTCTTTTCCAAAGTCTCCAGTGCTGTGACGTGAGAGGTGGCTAATCCTTTCAAAAGAGGGACCTTCAGATTGCTTAGGATGTTGAGAGACATGCCTTCAGAAGACACTAGGTAGCTCTCATAGTACCTCTAAGACTTCATGAGAATGACATGAAAAATGTGAGCCCAGTCGCTGTTCAGCTTCCTACTTGGAGATATGATTTTCTTCCTGTCCCTCACAAGTGATCTCCAGAGCCAAGCTAATGCTAGCACCATGCCCTTAAACTCACACTACAGTGACTAAATAATCTCACCGTGAGGTTAGTCTGCTTTCAGCCTTGTCTTGTCATAGCAGAAGACAGTTGTGTACTTGCCCTGATGTTGACTGCAATGAAGGGAATTCACAGTACCTGTTCCTGAAGGGAAACAAAGAGTTCCAAATCGCCTTGACAATTTATAGACAATATCAAACCTGCCATCCTTTTTTATGTATGCGCATGTGCATATAATCTTATAGAAACAATTTCTTTTTAACAGAGAAAGCTTCCCTATGACCAGCTGTAATTCTTCATTAATACTCAAAGCAAAGGGAAAGGCTGTTTGAGTATGGAGTACTGCTAATCCTGTGAAAAGTGAAGAAAAACAATGAAGTAGTCCCATTAAACCTTTAATAATAGGAAAATCCATTTAGAAGATAACTCAATTCCAGGAAGTGATGATTGTTGCGATCGCAGGGTTGTGACAAATGCTGACTCATGTCTGTGCCTCCCGAGACTTTGGAATAAAACAACTGAATCAGATTCCCACTGGAAAATGCTGCATGGAAGCAGAAGTGTCTATGATGACCTCATTCTGAAATTGAGTGAGCTGTTTGTAGGGCATTTGCTGTGGGATGGTCTGTATGTCAAATGTGTTGCTGATTGGTCAATGAATAAATCACTGATTGGTCAGTGGCCAGGCAGGAAGTGTAGGCGGGACAAGGAGGAGAATAGAGCTGGGAAATGGAAGGCTGAGGAGGAGACATTGCCAGCCGCCATCAGGACAAGGAAGATGTAAAGTACCGGTAAGCCACAAGCCACGTGGCAAAGTATAGATTAATAGAAATGGATTAATTTAAGCTGTAAGAACAGTTAGCAAGAAGCCTGCCACGGCCATACAGTTTGTAACCAATATAAGTGTCTGTGTTTACTTGATCGGGTTTGAACGGCTTGGGACTGGCGGGTGAGAGAGATTTGTCCTGACTGTGGGCCAGGCAGGAAAACTCAAGCAACAAATGGCGCCCAACGTGGGGCAAGAGTTTCCACCTAAAAACTGACAAAAAAGATTCTAAAACGGAGCTAAAAACAGTTCCTAATTGTTTCTCTCAAATGAGCGGCAGCTGCCGGTTTGAGCTACTGGCGGGTTGCTGGCGTGCGCTCTCGACCTGCAGTATGGCGGGAATGAGGCCTCTGCAAGTGGCACATTAAGCTGCTTGATGGATTTAGCCTTTGCTAGTACAAAACAAAAAAAAAGAGGTTTCTGGGCTACATGCTGCTTGGATAAAAGCATAGACCCACGATGGCTCCCAAAACTGGCGGTAAGCATACCGCCGTCGCCATGTTGGGAAGCTAAAGTGGGCGGAGCCAGCAGCCACAGCACCAGCGCCGTTTCAGGCTTAAAAGGCTGCAGTTCAAAGCAATAGGCTCAAGCTAATATAAAAAAATAAGCCACGTAAAGATGGCTACCACACAAAGAATCTGGATTATGTTCTCTTTGATATTCGTAACTAAAGAAAAACATTTGATTACAAAAGCTGTTGAGTTATGCCAAAATGTATATTTTAAAGGTACCTTGACTTCAAAATTTAGATATAAGAATATGTTGCTTTGGAAAGGAGATTCTGCTTTTGTTTCCACAGAAAGCCACAGGCTATAGATTTGTTCCAGATTAAGACACATCAGGTTTGACCAGCCAAGACCACCTGAAAGGTCTCCGATGACACCATGGCACAGATGATCCAACATCCAGAACCGTTTCAAGACAACTGGCTCAGACGATATACCCTCATGGACTACTCCATAACCCTAAAATTTCTTTGTTTCCCCAGAAGATACAGCGCCCCCCTCCAGCAGGAAGTAGTAAGAGAAGCTACGCCCAAATTCCCAAATATACCAAGCTGACTTTGGAGATGTGTAAAGGTTAAAACCTTCCTTTTTAAGAAAAGAAAAGGGGAGGTGCTGTGGGATGGTCTGTATGTCAAATGTGTTGCTGATTGGTCAATGAATAAATCACTGATTGGTCAGTGGCCAGGCAGGAAGTGTAGGCGGGACAAGGAGGAGAATAGAGCTGGGAAATGGAAGGCTGAGGAGGAGACATTGCCAGCCGCCATCAGGACAAGGAAGATGTAAAGTACCGGTAAGCCACAAGCCACGTGGCAAAGTATAGATTAATAGAAATGGATTAATTTAAGCTGTAAGAACAGTTAGCAAGAAGCCTGCCACGGCCATACAGTTTGTAACCAATATAAGTGTCTGTGTTTACTTGATCGGGTTTGAACGGCTTGGGACTGGCGGGTGAGAGAGATTTGTCCTGACTGTGGGCCAGGCAGGAAAACTCAAGCAACAGCATTTGCCTAGTAGGCTCAGTACTGCAACAGCAACAAATGAGCTTCTGGCTGGGACTGTTGGGGCCTGGAGATGGGACTCCACGGTTAAGCTGGGACTGTAGGGGGCTGGAGATGGGACTCCATGGTTAAGGTGGGACTGTAGGGGGCAGGAGATGGGACTCCATGGTTAAACTGGGACTTTAGGGGGCTGGAGATGGGACTCCATGATTAAGCTGGGACTTTAGGGGCCTGGAGATGGAGCTCCATGGTTAAGAACATGGAATGGTCTTCCAAAGGAGCTGGATAAATTCCCAGCATCCTCATGGTCACTCACAACTATCTGTAACTCTGGTTCCAAGGAATCTGAGGCCTTTGGCTTCTGAAGGCACCAGACCTCCCCACAGTGTACACTGGATGCTTTGAGACATTTTCTTTAATCATTTATGAAAACAACAGCAATGAAAAATTCCACAGAAATGACCCATTTTTCAGTTATTTAGAATTGCATTGTTTTGACCACTTCATATGTTAAAGTGCCAACTTACAAACTTTATGAAAAACCATGGAACTTGTTTGTGCCCTGGATTTGTTTAAATATCAAGCTAAGTTTTTTGTAAAGTGGATTTCTCTTCACATCTACATTTTAAGTAGTATATCCTCATTTGTTTATATTTTCATTTCCACTGACACATTGATGCATAATATTTAAATGGGAAGACATATTGGGTTATCTATATGCATGATTTAAATAGAATTGAGATGAATGTGGTTTTTAGATTAATTTCTTTGTCACCTAATTCACAAATTCACTGAAGTAAGAGACTAAATGGTTAGGACTGAGTTTAGCTGACTCTTCAACTTGCTTTTTGCCCCACTTATTGATATTGAGCACGGTGCACCTCCCCACCCCAGTACTGGAATATTGGTTGAAATCGTTTTTGATTGGCATACAAAAGTAAAAGAAAGTTTCAACGACAAAACCAAATTGTGACTTATGATGTGACTTTTGCATTTGGAGGAGCAATGGTCCCTTGGGAGGTTTGATGAGTATTTTGTCATCTTTATCTTCTTGGTGACTTTGCTTTTTGTGGATTAACCACCTCACAGCTTGTGTGTGGTCTCCGAGCCACAAGAAGCAATATGATACACAGGTCTTTTCTAGCTGCTGCCTCAGAATTGACTTTATAACTTCATTATTAACCTTCAGACAGGTTTTATATGATTTCTGATCACACTTTTCTGTTCTATGGAGCAAGTCCAGAAGAATTTCCAATCTTTTCTGTTTCCATCATGGCTTTCTTTATTGAGTGTCTTACCCTGGGAATAAATACATTCATACTTTAAAAATAATTAACTTTCTGCCTTATTTCTTTGTCCCTTTCATGCTCTGTCTTCCAGATTATTAGCTTATTAAATGTTTTCACGCCTCAGAAGACGCTGGAGGAGTTCCAAGACGTGTAAGTAATAAAACAACAAAGGTAATGAAGGTTGAGCCCAGCCCTCACTCAGATAACTCCAGGGGATGACAAATATAATAGCAACAGAGACGAAAAGGATGAAATTCCTTGCAAAGATCAAAGAGACCTAAGGAACATGACCCAGGAAATGAGGCAGCAGTATGCAGTGGCGATTCTGCTGTGGTGTGACCTCCTGAAGGACACTTCTGCCTCCTTCTGGCCCGTATGGTTTGTTGTTCCACACACTTGGTAAATCAGGGAAGTAAGAAAGCCTTCGATTATTTACTCATTATTTCTGTGAAAATTTTCAGGATGGGTCAGTTCATTTTGAGAACCATTAATAAAGGACTTGCTGCAATTTTTTTTACCTGTCTTTGCAATGCCTTTAATTTTGTGCAAAATGAATCTGTCTAGAATGTCAGTGACAAACACAGGTTGAGGGCAGTGATTCTGGAGCACAGTGTCTTCTTCCACACAGTTGCAGCACACTTTAGAAGTGGCTGCCTTGATTCCTTTCCTCATTTGTAATCATAGTGCTTAGGAAAGAGTTAAGGAAATACAGGGAAAACTGTGATCACTAAAGGTTAGAGAACAGATGGGCATGAGCCACATACTAATTAGTGATGCTGCTATATGCATGTGGTTGAGACACTGCAGCTGTCCATCATGATATACTTGGAAGTTTCCCATATTCTCAGTCAACTCAAGCAATCACAGAACTTGGAAGTTCAATAAACATAAAGTACAGGACTCCAACAGTGATGGAAGGTCATTGTAGAGCCTCCCTTCTGGACTAACATGATGGGTTTACCTTCTAGTTACCTAGTGATGGAGCTGATGGATGCCAACTTGTGTCAGGTGATTCAGATGGAGTTGGACCATGAGCGGATGTCTTATTTGCTGTACCAGATGTTGTGTGGCATCAAGCATCTCCACTCTGCTGGAATTATCCACAGGGTAAGAACATTTACTCTAGAACTGCAGTGTGCCGACTGCTAGGGAACAGAAAGAACAGCATTGAAGTACTTTTTTAAAGAGAATTGGTCAAATACCATGCACTTGGTAAATTTGTAGATGGGTAGCGTTAGCACCCGACTGACTGATATGTAGAGGGGCCTTCTTTGTGTGCTCTGGTAGAATTTGAGTTTGTATTTTTGCTCACTGAGAGCCAACTTTTGAAGAGCCTTGTATTTCCTAGCCCTTTGACATTCGAAGTCGGATGAGTAGCTAAAATAAGACAGCTCATTTCCATTCTTCCTTTCTGGAAAAATAAGGGCAGCTACCCTGATATGCTCCCTGTCAGACCTAAAAATGACACTCATCCTTAAAGGTTTATGGTGTCCTAAAGAGAAACCTAAGAGATGACAACAAATGATGTGTTATTTTTCCCAAAACTTCTTCCCATGTGAGCCTACATTGTAAAAATAACAGTACAGTTCTCTTCTAAACTTAAAATATTTTACAAGGGCATTTTTCAAAATCTAAAACTACCTATGGCTTGTCACAGTAACCCTGTGCTTTCCGTAGGGTCCTGCAAGCAGGCTGTTGCGTTGTGAGGCTGCACTGGGTAGTGTTAGACTAGAAATTGCAGTTCTTATAGATACTCACTTTCACTTTCTCCCCCTGTTCCTACTGTCAGGACTTAAAACCCAGTAACATTGTGGTCAAGTCTGATTGCACTCTGAAAATTCTTGACTTCGGACTGGCCAGGACAGCAGGCACAAGCTTTATGATGACTCCGTATGTGGTGACACGATATTACAGAGCCCCTGAGGTCATCCTGGGAATGGGCTACAAGGAGAACGGTAGGGATGATCCTGGAACAGTGAAGCCGTGGGTTCGTGCTTTAGATAACTGAGAGTCATTTTTGTTGTAACAGAGAAATTCTTTGGAAAAAGAACTGCCAGCGTTCACGTTCAGAGAATTCTTAAATACCACTAGGGGGGTCAGGCGTGAAGAACGTGAAGCATGTTTCTGAGAAGCAGGTTTGGCTACAGAAACTCTAAAACTTGATAGCTGAAAAAGAATTGCAAATAGAGTGTGATTACACAGTCGGGTGACTGCTGACTGGCACACAGACTTCAGCCAGGGAGAATCACTGCTAACTGCATTGCGGTGTAGTCCAGATACTTGTGGAAACTGTGAAAGATGCTTTAGGTAAACACTTGGCTTTTGTGTAATAGCTCGGGTTGATGGCTGTGGTCCTCAAGAAAGACTAACAAAGATATTACAGAATCTTGAATCAAGTCAAGTTAGCATCATTCAAACTATAAGCTTCTTGTTATTATGTCAAATCCTCTGAAAAATAATATTTAGTGTAGCACTGTCTAGTAAATCTTAATAAATCCAAGAAACCATGTAAAGGAAAAAAACATTCAATTTTACATTACTTCTTTGACAAGAAAATCTAATGTACATGAACATGTTGAAAGAAAGATCCAGAAAAATATTTGAAATTCAAATTGAATTTTGATTGATTAAAACAGAGGGTTTATAAAGAACTTCTTAGAAAGCTTTGCAGTCTATCATTTTGTCTGAAATACTTATTATATAGAGCCATGTTGAAAACCATATCAAATATACTTAGAATTTATATTAGCTTTAAGTTAGATTTGTATATGTGCCCTGAATACCTGTTTTTATGTTTTATATGTTTAATTCCTAGTAATCCATTTTCACACATTTTTATCAAAACAACTACTACTGCGTTTTTAGTGTAATTACTGCAGAGCGCATTTATGTGCCATTGAAGTTAGAAACAATCATTTGCATACTTCCAGTCTAGAGGGTTGCTGTCACACTGATGTCTTTGTATGCAACAAAGGGACAGTCAGCTCTGAGTAGGCCACTGCCAGGGCTGTGTTACCTTCTGACTTACGTTAAAGGAGCCTTCCTCCTGAGTGAAACCCAAGGAGGATTAATTAAAGAGAAGTCAAGAATTGAGGACCAGAGCTACCAATAATTTATTGTATATTTTAAGGGGAAGATTTTGAATGTCCCAACCCAATGGATTGTAAATATGCTAATTACCCTGATTTGATCACTACACATTGTGTGCATATAGCAAATATCCACAGGTATGATTACTATGTGTCACAAAAATTAGGAGGGATAAGGATGGACAGAGTCTGGGAGTCTGAGTTTGTCTGGTCTGTGTTTTTAGATCTTTGTCACACAGACAGAAGGTATTCAATCCCTGTTTCTGTCTTTATTTGAAAGTCCCACAAAACAATGAAAAACCCTTCATTGCTGTGCAGGGAAGTGTGTCTCGTACCCGTGTGTCATCCTTTCTGTCAGCTGAGGGTGGTTATCATGCAGAAAAAAAACAGCTTGTTCTTGCTCCAGGCATGCCCCTCCTGTGCACCTCACCCTGCTTTCCACCCCTTGGAGCAGCTCTGCCTAATGTTTTTGTTTTAAAATCTCCTTGTCCCTGATAAATGTGAAACTGGAGAGAGTTAAGGTGGGTAGGAGACATGTCGGTTAGCAAACAGAACAATTGGGAAATAAATACACATACTTCAGTTTTAACACCTTTTATGCATTTTCACTTCTCAATATCTCCTTTGTGCATATGCTAACTTATCATTTTTCTCAAAATATTAAGATAGAAATTAGAGCTGGTGTTTACCTTAAAGAATAATTTCTGAGTGAAAAATCAATGCTGTAGCACAGGATTGACAGTTTCTCACCACAAAGCTCACCAACCATTTCCTAGTCTCTTGGATTGGTTGAATGAACTCTTATTTGGGACAAAGGATGTTCTCTTGCTGCCTGCTGCACACAACTAAACAAAATAGGAGGTGAACACAGTCACCCTACAGGGATGTATCAAGCAAATGCTATCAAAACCGTCTCCGAGACCTTTAGTTGACACCTGCCTGGAGATACCCTGGGCTTAGTGAGTGTTCTCTTCCTGTCTGTGACATCGCCAACTCATGTCAATAAAGATGCAGTTTGGGCTTCCCTAGAATACTCTGTTTTACACATGAATTTGAGCTCTCACTGTAGAGACTGTGTGATAACACAATGTGAATTTTAACTCACATTCAGCCACTTGAGGTGGAATGTGAGAGTCTTACTTTCCCGTCACCAGAGGCAGTTACCTCAGTTAACCTTGCTTTCCTCCTGTCTTCGCTCCCTCTCTCCTGTTCCAGTGGATATATGGTCTGTGGGATGCATCATGGGAGAAATGGTTCGCCACAAAATCCTCTTTCCCGGAAGGGACTGTATCCTTGTACCTTTGGCTTCACCTGTTTTATTTTCTCTTCCTTTAAACTCGTAATGATTTTACCAGCAGAGTAAAGACAGAGCAGAAAGTTGGGTAAGTGGAGTACTTGTCACAATGAAGTTACGATTTCTATACTCTCTCCAGCACTGTAGACTGCCTACCACATGACTTCTTCTTATTAACTTTCCAACAGCAAGCCTTTCTTATAAACTAAAATAGGAATGCCATTTTTTAGAAGTAATGGAGACCACCAGACTCTAAGTGAAAAACAAACAAAACAACAACAAAAACATAATTAGCAAATGAAGTCACTCTTTGCAGGTCATTTCCCATGATCTTTCTAAAGTGATTTATGATCCACAATATTCAAGTCTGATTTCCCTACTTACTTTCCCTGGCAGTCTAAGCTTTCATCTATGGGTCCATGCATAGACAGGTGTAAATAGGCCACTGTAGCATGCATAGCCCCAGTAAAGGGTGAATTTCCACCCTTAGAAATCATAACTATCATTCACATCAACAGAGGTGACTTTAATAGGACTTCATTCACTTGAGGTTGAGAGGCTGAGAGGCTGAGAGATGGTGTATACACAGGCAATTATAGTGCTCTGCTTGCTGCGCCAGAGTGAGAACCTGAGTTCAAATCCCTAGCACGCATGCAGAAGCGCACAGCTGTAACTGCAGTGGAGGGGCAGACCTCACTGCCAGCTAGCCTAGCCAATCAAAGAGCTCCAGGTCTAGGGAAAGCCCCTCACTCAGAACTCAAGGTGGAGTGTGACTGAGAGCAATACCTGACAAGGACCTCTGGCCTCCACCTGCACCTGCACACTTGAACACACACACACACACACACACACACACACACATACACACACGATTAGGTCATTGCTTTTCCCACTAGGTTTCTTAGAGGGCTGTGTATGCATGAGAATTACTAAAGAAGATGAATTTCTTCAGTGACCAGAAATTCACTCTCTAGGAAAAGTACCCATTTGTATTTATGATATGTGGAAAATAAACTTCATATATCAACAGGAGAACATACTTTGATGAATGCAGCATATCTTGCTAATGAATGCTAGTGCAAATTATGGTCAACACTAACTGACAGCTTCAACGGCAGTACAGTGTTAACTCAGAATAATTGTTAGAGATTTGGATTTTGTCAATAAGAAATATGGCAGATAACTCTATTACACATTTTATTTGAGAACGTTCTATTACGTAATCCTTATATAAGAAAGAGTATAATTTTATTTCAACATGAAAAGAAAGGTTAGAGTTCAAAAACCATGACTTAAGAAGAAGTTAATAGCAAACGAGCATTTATGCATTCTGCTGGACGTTAGTATGATATTGCTGAGTCCCAGCATTGACACAAAGTGCTGGTCTCTTCTAGCCCTTCAGTGATAAAGACCCTGGAGCTAGATGCCACTTCTCAGCACTTGAAATTATAAATTGAATTATAAGTGCTGAATGAATACAGTGCTTACCACTATCTAGAAATACGCAAAGCATGTGCAGTGACCCAGTAATGACTTCCTACTGAATGTGTGAAGTGACAGGATTTTGAGTGTATTGAGGTAAAACACGTATTGATACAATTGATCTTACCTGTTCCTTCCTATTCTTTTTTATTGTTAATATTGGTACATTTTAAATTGTATGCACAATTTACATGTGGGGCTGTTGTCTTTTTTATTGGGTAGTACTGGTGTAGAGGTTGAGGCAACCCTGAGACATCCTTCTGTCTATAGTTCATTTTACACGATCATTTGCCTCATGCCTTTGTCCACAGGCACATTTCAGATGTGACTACATGAGACTTTTTCTTTACATCAAGACAGTTATTTGCAGTTTGGGGATCAATTACATAACCAATGTGTCTGAACATTATAACCCGTATTCACATGTCAGTGCACTGATCTTACTCACAAGCAGAAATTATCCTTTGTGCTTTTGCCTTTGGGGTAAAATACATTAAAAACAGAGAGAGGTACCTCTCCATCACTGCTCAGAGTGGAGGCTGCAGTTCCTGTGGGTCACCTGCTGGTGGAGAAAGACAGGCCAGGATTTCTCAGCAGCCTGAGACCCGGCTGTCCTAGGTCACTTTTCCACAGAGCAAGGCCCTCCTGTGAGCGAAATTTAGCTCTCCACTTCTTAGAGTTGCTGTTCTGTTTTGACAGTTGAAACTCAACAGCTGACACAATTAGAATAAACTGAAACTTTTAAAATCTAAATTGACCCTTCAGCAAAACAGAGATAAACACATCATTGATGATATTCTGTTTTGTTTTTTTTTTTAATTTTTTGGGGGCTTGCCTTTTATTTTTATTTGTTTTAGAAAAATTTTGAACCTGAATGAAACTGTGTAAAAGTCAGTATAGAAACTCTGCAACCTGATACATGTGCTCATCAAGTCTAATCTCTAACACAGAGAGTACAGACTGTAGGGAGGTCTGTGTGTTGTGTGCCTTTATCTCGAGTGGTTATGACACAGAGCACAGGTCTTTGATAGCCAGGCTGACTGCCCTGTGTGATACAAGTCTACAACACTGTCACTTTCTGACTCGGGCTTCCTACTGTCCTTAGAGGAAGATCAGGCCATTGAGAAAGCTCACTGAACCACAAAGAACATGCACAAGGGTGTGATGGTTTCCCCGGAGAAGAACCATGACAATATGTCAGCATAATTGAAATAATTATAGGATTTGCTGGAAGTAATATTGAAGTTTAGTATGCATTAATTGAGACCCTGACTAGTTCAAGATATGCAGGCTCTCCTACTTAGAAATATTAAAATACATGTAAATTAACTAATATTAATAAGAGTATCAAATTATTCTGACTGGAAAATAATGCAATAGTCTGTAGCTGGAGTTTTCCTGCCTGGCCCACAGTCAGGACAAATCTCTCTCACCTGCCAGTCCCACAGCCGCTCAGACCCGACCAAGTAAACACAGAGACTTATACTGGTTACAAACTGTATGGCCATGGCAGGCTTCTTGCTAACTGTTCTTACAGCTTAAATTAATCCATTTCCATTAATCTATACCTTGCCACATGGCTCGTGGCTTACCGGCATCTTCACATGCTGTTTCTCATCATGGCGGCTGGCAGTGTCTCTCTGACTCAGCCTTCCACTTCCCAGCTTTATTCTCCTCCTTGTCCTGCCTACACTTCCTGCCTAGCCAATGGCCAATCAGTGTTTTATTTATTGACTAATTAGCAACACATTTGCCATACAGAACATCCCACGGCAATAGTCTATATTCAACATCATTCCTCACTTTTCACAGAACTTTTGATTCTGTGCGAAAGCAAAAACATTAAAATGCCTTTGCAAATCAGAAAAAATCTTATAAAATTTTCACCAATGACTGATTTTTTTTCACTTAAATCTATCTTTTCATTTTGAGAAACACTGTGGGCTTTTCTGGGTGTTTACTATTATCCTGATACCATCCCAGGGTCATTTACCTACTACTGAGTTAGGATGTTGGCAAAGATATGCAATTTTAAACATAAAAACATAGAGTACCAGAGAGATGGATCAGTTGGTAAAGCATTTGCCTTGCAGGCACAGAAACACAAATTCCGTTGGGAGAACACACCTAAAGAGACCAGACATTGCAGCACATTCCTGGAGTACCGGCACCTGTGAGAGGATTCAGGCAGACCCCTGGGGCTCTGGCCAGCCAGTCTAGCTTACTTGCCAAACTCCAGGCTAATGAGAGACCCTGTCTCAAAAAACAATGGATATAGCTTGAGGAATGGTGCCTGAGATTGTTCTTTGACTCCATGCACCTGCTTATACACAGGAATAAGCACCTGCTTGCCCATGTACACACGCATATGCACACACACGCACACAGAGTGTATACATAGTTGGATTTGCTTTCCATCCATTAATTTTCTAATTATTTTAATATTTCAATGTTTCTAACTCATTTTTTATATTGTGCATTAACTCATTCAATTTTTATGATAGTTTCATGATGGAAACAGATTCCCTCAGAGCTGGGCTGTTTATAGAGTACAGAGAAGAGGGCCCTCTGCCTTCTGTGTGAATTCTCTTTCTTTCAGCAAGTTTATAGTGAAACCGCTTCAACTCACTTGGTTAGAAATTTCCCCAAACCCTGTGCAGTCCTCCCTCTGTCCACTTACTCCAAGCCCCAGCATGGCAGCGCTGTTCTTGGGATCCCAGAGACTCCCACAGCACCCCTGCACTGTTCTCGGGATCCCAGACTCTCCCACAGCACCCCTGCACTGTCCTCGGGATCCCAGAGACTCCCACGGCACCCCTGCACTGTCCTCGGGATCCCAGACTCTCCCATGACACCCCTGCACTGTCTTTGGGATCCCTGAGACTCCCACGGCACCCCTGCACTATCCTCGGGATCCCAGACTCTCCCACAGCACCCCTGCACTATCCTCGGGATCCCAGACTCTCCCACAGCACCCCTGCACTGTCCTCGGGATCCCAGAGACTCCCACGGCACCCCAGCCTTTTCACAAGCCTTCTTTAAGCCTGCTTATTCTTTTTTTTAATTGAAAATAATTTTTTCATACAATATATTCTGATCACCTTTTCCCCTTCCTCATCTCCTCCCAGATCCTCTATACCTTCTCATCCGTCCAACTCCATGCTTTCTTTCTCCTCTCTCTTTAGAAAGCAAACAGGCTCTGGGCGGTGGTGGCACACGCCTTTAATCCCAGCACACAGGAGGCAGAGGCAGGTGGTTCTCTGTGAGTTCGAGGCCAGGCTGGGCCACAGAGTGAGTTCCAGAAAAGGTTCCAAAGCTACACAGAGAAACCCTGTCGAAAAAAAAACAACCAAAAACCCAAAAATAAATAAATAAATAAAAAAGAAAAAAAACAGGCAAAATCAACCAACCAAACAAAAACAGTACAACAGCAACATCAAGAAAAACAACAACAACAAAAACCTGAAACAACCAGAGAATTAAAAAAAAGAAAAAAGCACTAGAAACACAC